TGTGTGTGTGTGTGGGGAGAGAGAGAGAGAGAGAGAGAGAGAGAGAGAGAGAGAGAGAGAGAATTGTAGCCTCCTGGAGAGAAAAGACCAATACAAGAGGGAAACAGAGTTGAGAGACAGTGGAGGTACTGGATTCCTAATAGTATTGTTTGATGAACCCAGCCATGCCTGAAGTCAGACCTACTTCTGGACTTTTCATTACAGGAGTTGGTAAGCTTCTGTTGTCTGGGCCACCTTGGACTGAATTTCTGGCATTTATAAACTTGGGCCTATGAATGTTTTTGTCCTCATGAGGAGGGAGGAAAAACTCCACCCTCACTGCTAGAATCATTAGAAATCACTTCTCTGGCTGGGTACAATGAAGCATGGCTGTAATCCCAGCCGCTCAGGAGCCTGAGGCAGGAGGATCTCAAGTTCAAGACCAGCCTCAGCAACACAGTGAGACCCTAAGCAACTCAGCAAAACCCTTATCTCAAAAAGGGGTGGAGGGGGGAGTGGCTGGGGATATGGCTCAGTGGTTAAGTGACCCTGAGCTCAACAAAAAAAAAAGGAAATCAGTTCTCTTTCTGTATTCAGGAAAGTCCACATGAGTGGAACATGAAGAATTTTGCCCAGCACACAGAACAGAGTCCTCTATGTATTAATTACTCACTGTCTCTGGCAAAGCAGCAGGAGCTCACACAACCTTTGTGGCCCTGCATTAGAGTCACACAGGCTCCACGGTTTCGAAACTCCCCTGTATGGACATTCCATATTTTTAATTTTTTATCCCAGGAGCTGGAACACAGGAAATGGCCACTGAAGGTAAAACAGCAGTTGGAGATTGCATTTTCATGTGCCCTGAAACAGATGAGGCAAATGTTTGCTCTGGGAGGACCTGAAAACATACATAAAGGGGGAGGGGACATTGGAGGGGACACCATCATTCATCTCCTGAGCAAATGGATGTCATTCCTTTAATCACTGTCTACCATGATCCAGATAGGAATTTGTCAGACTGTGTCACCCTACTCTAAGGCTATTTAACCATGCTAATATGAACATTTTGTGCTGGATAATTCTTTGTTGTAGAGGCCTATCCTATGTATTATAGGGTGTTTAGCAACATCTCTGGCCTCTCTACCAGCTAGATGCCAGTTGCTCCCTGTTGGGGTAAACACTAGTCAGTGTCTGAGAAAGTTTGTTGCTCAGCTTATTTTTAAAATGGACATGTTTCTTGCTCTTCCTCTCTCCCTGCTCTTCCCTAATCTCTACCCCTCCCTAAAATCAGGGGAAACTGGATTATTACCTCTGTTCCCCATCCTAGGCAGAGTTATCTGTCCCTGAGTACACACCCACCACAGGAATGAAGTAATGCAGACTTTGGGGATGGTACCTGAAGGTCTCAGAAATGACTTCCCAAATTAACAAGTAAATTACAATTCCAACAGAGAACACAAGGAAATGAACCCTTTGAATCACCTTTTTAAATGCCCCCTTTGGGACAGGAGTCCCCAGTGTTTCTCCTTTGCTAGCACAGCAGTAAACCTTCTTTTTCCTTTTTCTAAATAAAACAACAAAAAAAGTTTGTTGTTCAGCAGTGAAATAAGGACTCTAAAGAATGTGACAATGAAGAAGATGGAGCCCGGAAGCTGTCTCTTATCTTCAGGTGTGGATCAAAGTAGAGTGACCTTGGTGTAAAGTGAAAGAATGTGCTTGTAAAACATCTGAAGAACTCCCCCTGTGCAGTGGGCAGCATCCTATCCCATAAATTCCCTCTGGTGGAGGCAGGGTGTGGCCCTCCTTTGTAACCCAGCCTTTCACTGCCAGGAGTGAGTGAGTAATAAAATGTCAAAACCCTCTCCCTGAGTCTTCCAAGTTCTTTCTTTGGGACTGGAAAACAGAATACCAGGGCCTTTGCAGCCCTGGAGTTGAACCCCTTTATAACAGCCAAAAACGTGTCCAAACATTGCCAATGTCCACTGAGGAACAAAACTGCCCCCAGTTGAGAAGCAATGGAATATTCAAGAGCTTCATATGGTTTGAGAAAAAAGAAGCTGGAAAGTCATCAGTAGTAGCTAGTTGTCTTTCAAATTTGGATTGAATTCACAAAGAGGTCTTCTCCCACTCCTTCCTCTCCCTGGTATCCAGCCTTGGCTCCTTCTCCTCCATCCCACCTCATCTCCCCTGTCCCACTCCTCTCCTATTTACTCTCCCCTTTTTTTCTTTCTCTTATCAGTCTTCAGTGCCATTAAATCATATTTTAATTTTGTATATTTAATAAAGTTTTGAGTCATTCTCTCTCTCTCTCTCTCTCTCTCTCTCTCTCTCTCTCTCT